AAATAATCATACGAATATAAATTATCTTTAAGAAATGAATTAAAGAAAATTTTGACAATGCTTAAATTTTGAGTACATCGTAGAAAATATCTTTGTGATATTCAAATTTAAATTTAGTCTATACATACAAGTATAGGTTATACTTCGGAAAACCAGTCGAAGAATACATCCTGACAATAGTCAAATTTCGAGTATATTTATAAATCGTCGTAGAAAGAGAGAGTACATAAAGCATCGTAGATAAATGAAATCAATGGAAGAAATGAAAGGAAATAAGCAAAAATCATAGACTGACCTGTATAGATGCGGTGCCGGGCGTTGGTCTCGTTCGCCGGAAGAAGGTCGTCGTACTCCAGTGTCGTCACGTCCTTCGTATGAACCAGCACAATTACGCAGGTGACCAGCATCAACACCAACGTCACCACCGATCGGTTGACCATCATTTTGATCGAAAAAATATGCGCTTACCGGCCGGAAAGAATCCGTCGCGCGACACACAGGACACGCCGTTCGATCACATTTTTACAAACCGCGAGAGAGTCGACGCTTCGAAAACGAAAGCTCGAAATTATCGAGCGCCCGAAGCGGGAAGTTCGAATGCCGCAATCGCGTACCGGGCGTCGATCCTCGCATATTATTCAAATCCAGGTAAATACGGTTATGGACGAACGGAGGAACAGTTACGAAATGCGAATTCGTTACGATGCGCGCGTCACTCCCGCGCATTTCAATTTCGTACGGCGTTAAGTTGGCCCTTGGAGGGCGCGGATTCGATACATGCGCAGATCGAACAAACTGTCATTACTGCGCAAGGGGGGAGGGGCAGGAGCCCGCGTGCGAAACGAATACGCTGTTCACGGATGAGAAACTCGAGGTCGGTGAAACTTCGCGAATCCTTTTCGTCCGGTCTCCGTACCCTCGATTCGTGTCACACGAAGGGCTGTCAGTCAGTGGACGTTACACATTCGTCGACTGTCACTCGCGTACACGTAATTGAATGCGGCCTACGCGGACACGAAAATAAAAAGGATTATCCACGACCGCGCGTGCTACCTGTTTTAAAAGAAGTGTGCGCTTGCTGCACGAGTCCATGCTGCACTGCTAGGCACAAGTCAGGTGTTTCAAGCAGCCGCCACGCGACGTTCGCGCCATCTGTCTGCCAATCACCGAACATTCGGCATCGCGCGTAAACCACTGCCGCGCTTTTCACGCGCACGTTCCTTACGTCTCTGCGTCACGTGGCCATTTGACTTCATTCATGGAGACAGGTCCTTTTATACGACGAGTGTGTATGCGTAAGTATCAACCGGCTGCGTAGGTATGCATCGTTCTTAACTCTTTCTCTTTCTCTTCCATCGCTGTATGTAACACGGCTTCCGTACGTAACACAAACTAGGAATTCAATCGTTACTTTATTATCGATTTTCTAACGATGTAACGACCTCGTATCGAAATTTCGCTCGTTCGATATGTATCGATCTCGATACCTTGAAGATCCTTCGTTAAAAATGCACGCGGATTCTAATGAATGCTTTTACACCAATCGTCGCAGATAATCAAGACGCAAATAACTCGAGAAGAAACCGAATTTATAATCGAATACATAATTCAAAAGGTCGATATGTATTCTATTCTCAAGATGCACTTGTGACTTAACTTTAACCTAAAATTGATGTGATGGTCATTTCGTCAAGTAAACAGTATGGCAGTAAATCTCCCGAGTTCTTCCGGAGTGCTTGAAAATTTTTCAGGTAATGAAAGAAATAAACAAGATAGTATCATATATGTTGTATTCATTGTCGTATTCAAAGATTAATTGAATCATACTGATTGACAGGTACCAATACAGGCGACATTTTACAGCAGCTATTTTGCAAATTATCATCAGAGTAAAAATTGCTGGGATAATTCTAAATCATTTAAAATTATTTTTGACTGTACCTTCAAACGCGTGTCTTCTCTTTTACGATTACCAAACATGGCACGTAAATATTGTTCAACGCCGGCTTCTAAATAGTTTCCTGCATGAAAGCGATTCGTTACCTACATTCCCCTATCGGCGGCAATTTTTCACCGTCTCTCTTTCTCTCTCTTTCTCTGTCTCTTCATCCCCGGCTTTAGCGAGGTAAAATCACGCGTCGCAGTCACGTAAGCGCGGCCTCTTCGCGACGAGGCTTCGGTCTACCGGCATTTAATTAAGCCCAGTCGTTCGAATAAAAAAGTCATTGGTACAGGAAGCGATGGGTTTCGAGTACGCGGAGCAGCGGACCGTAGTTCGAGCCCCGTTACGGGACAGATGCATTGGCGTAATCCCGATCGATCGGCCAATGTCCTTTGCACGACGAATGTTCGCGCATCGGGGCGCCTCCACGCCGTTGCAGAATGCCGGTGCAACTTCTCGCCGGTATTCCGCAGGGATCGCGAACCGCGTCGACCTTAAAAATTATCGACACGAGACCCGAGAGTAATGGTCAGAGCATAACACAGGCTTTGTCTTCGTCGCGCGTCCCCCTTTTTCGCTTTATCTCGCTCTGTCTGTCCGCCACGAAAGGCAAACGATCCGTGTTGTTTTTCACCCTGACAAGGAAACGGACGGTCGATGCACTTGCAATCGCAGGTCGATCACGATTCGTAATCTTTGAGCGCACAGAGGCGAGTAATGTACATACCGCAAGATTCGAATGCAGGGATTAGAACGAAAAAAAGACATAGTTGCCTTTGCTCTTTATGATTGATAGGCTGTCCAGTTTTAGTAGCACGAACGTAGGATAATGAGATTTGGCATGATGGTTGTTTGCTCAGTAGAATAGAATTCAGAGAACATATGTAGAACAAAATGAGGAAATGAAGATCCGATAGGAGATCTTCTTTTAATGAGCCACTATTCAACTAGCTTCTCACATATAAATTCACAATACTTTATTGTTCAGTCTCTGAAAACGACTGGATCTTGTATGCTTTTAATAGTCACTGCAACTTTAAAATATCTTTCCAGTGGAATTGTATCTAATTGCAATTGTAAAACTATTGTATCAACATTTGTAATTAATGATAATTTAATATCATTCTATGCAGAAGATGTTCCACGTTCGGAATAACTTTCAAATGTTCAAGCGGAAAGTCACGGTTAATGGATAATTTCGGTATAGAATCTAAACACTGCGCTACGTACCAACGAAATTCTTCTATGCTTCTTCATTTTAGTCGCTTCTTTTTTCAAGCCTCGGGGGACATATTCTCACGAAATCCGGTTCTACTGGTTTGGGGTTAGATACGAAGGTGAAGTTTAGCTGTGGTGGCCCGAAAAATCGGCACCTCTGTTGATTACTATACCGCAAAGCACCGTGTTAGATTAGTTCGTTTATTGCGTATATAAAAATAAAGTAACATGCCAGATTAGACCATCGATTAGAACATCGTAAACGAATTATAAGTCACCACGTATTCGAAAACGTGTTTGTCGAAGCGCATTCACAATTAAATTAGTAACGGAACATGAAAGATTCGAGATATGAATCATTCGGTGTAAACTGAAATTTACGTATCGCACTAATTCGTAAAGAAAATAAAGAAGAGCTTGTTAAAACGAAGGGAAAACAAAAGAATATGTATACTGAGAAATTCGCCACATAGAGTCTAATTAATTTAGTCTACACACAGCTGAGGTCTATAGAAACTTCACAAATCAATAATGAAAAAAGAACACGGGTAATTCTGGTTCACTGTTATTCTGTAAAATCGAAATCTAATCGTCACGATATAAACAGTTTTCATTCATATAAATTCACAGTACCATTCCGATATTTTATTTATGGTTGACGCAAGAATAAAGTTGATAATATGAATTTGACTAAAATGACCTTTAATTAATTTATAAATTAATCTCTATTAATTTCATACAATTCCATTAGATGGAAATCGATCGTTTATCACTGATTAGAATCTCTTTTCCATTTTCGCTTATTATATATAAATAAATAAAAGATTAACAGCACTTACATTACAGGTTGTCACGTTTTCCAAGGGGATGATATTTATTACTTCAAATTACACCAACAAAATACACCATGATTATCACGTAATTTATGACTATACCATAGTGTTGACGACACATCCCGCGAATACGTCTCTCTCATATAATATTACACACACGAGAGCAATACAAGAGACCAGGTGCATTTAAATATTCATACGCAATGCATCACAAACCATACATACATCAGTTTACGGCTACGAACACTCCAAACATCTACGCAATGTATACAGAGTGCCTTTTTTAATAAAATCTGTGATTGCTTTCTTTTTACCAATGTTCACAATACATGACAAATCAATACAATACATGATAAATCAAAAATAATTCTAAATAATTAAATATGTGTATAATTAAGTAATAATTAAATATTTTCTTTAATATGTAATTTCAGGTTTGAAAAATTATATTTCTGAAAACATATATTACTAACGAGATCATAAAAAGTATTCCATAACGTCCATATCCATGAAGTTGCATATGATGAAAAGCCAAAATATACAAATAAAAAATGTTCTTTGAAATTGTAACAGTATATGGCCAATATCAAAAGATAAATGTTTCACCCTGTATGCAAAAGTACCATGCAGCCAAACACCATCTCCGGTACAACAGGTTGTTAATTTTTCTCTGTAAGATCCACCGCGGTGGGCTTCATTAAAAATTGAACTGGTCAGAATATCAAAGAGAAGAATAAATTTAACACGTATGAGCCATTAATTAACGGCCCAATTGCCGATATTCTTATACAAGGCGGAGGTAATGTACGTAAAATGTGCTTCTAAAAAAAAAATCTTCATAAATATACCGATTTGTTTGTCATACATTTGTATGGGGAATAAAAACTAACACGTGAGGTCTGTTTAAATATGGTAAAGTACAACCATATATTTACATAAAAAGTTCCATAATTCATATACATTTGAAAGACTAAAGAATACAAGCAAAACCGAGCATATACATATGCAGTACACAGCGAGTTGCAGTTCAAAGATATCGCAAGAAATGAAATGAAATAGAATTAGTTACTTACTAATCCTATCTAAACCTAAACAATAATTTAAACATAATGATCTGTCCGTAACAATTATTAATACTTTTGAAACGAATTTCAAAATTGATATATGGGTCATTTTGGAAAGAATTCTTTTCATAAAGAAGTGGAGAGAGGAGGACGCGGCAAGGATATAGCAAGACAAACAATTAACTCTACACAACCACACATTTACAGCTGCCAGGTTTTGCGAGCAATGAACTTACGGGAAGTACTCACTCGCATCGTGCCAAGATGTTATGTACTACGAATGTACATTGCTATAACTTATAACGTTAATACTTATAATGTCAAACTACTGTAACTCTTGTTGCTTTATATTTTATTAAAAATATAGTTTATTTCTATTATTTTCTATTAATTTAACTAAAGAGGGACAGATATATTCTACTTTGTGCAATGTTACATTTATTCGAAACATACAATTTTAAAATATACATTTACTTGAACATGTAACTGTTCCTATCTTGTGTTTCGCAGAGAATCACTCTTTCTTATACTAATACTATTCTTTCTGCATATCTCATTGTCAGCTCATTGTATACATACTGAAATTGCAAATAAAAGATAAAGGTGAAAAACAAATAGTATAAAATAAATATGTTTGAAGCTCAAATGTACTATTAACTAAATCATTAAATAAATAAATTGATAAAATCCATAATAACTTATCAATTAACAAATTTCTTTAAAAACAAAAAATGTTAATGCACGCGTAGATATATGTACATCCGGGAAATATACTTCAACAAAGAATTCGCGAACAATGTGCACTGGAGTTCTGTATCAAACACATAGCTCGAGGAACTTTTTAAAAAAATTTTTCTAGGCACGCACAATGTATAGCAGATCGGCGAGGTAAGATACAACGAATGGGAATACAGAAAGGAAGCCTCTATAACGGTATAAAATATAGTTGAACTGTTGCTTGCAGAAAACAAGAAATAGAATGCACAGTCTTTTTCCTCCGAGGACGATCTAGATTACGGAATAAAACGCGCATTACAAAGGGGACCACATTTCCTCAGAATAAATGTATATATACGCTTGGTAGAAGACAACATTTCCATACGACTTTGTTTCAGAAATTTGTTTTTCTATTCCAACAATTCTATATGATATTATATTGCAATAATCCCATGGAAAAAAGTGTTAAATAAAAGTATAAGGGTAGTTTATTATTAATATAAACAAATAGAAGATTAATTATAAACAATGGAAGATAACAATAGAAGATACAAAAATGCAAAAAAATAAAATATTTGATAAAATATTCCAAAAAAATAGTTTATATTTACATAATACGTACAGTATGAACGTTAATTGTATTGGCAGCAAATTTTATAAATAAAAAAATTCCGACACAATAAACTATTATCATTTTGCACACTTTGAATTTTCACACAGCACCATTAACAATGTCTTGAGGCTTAAGTAATATCCTGAAGTGACAGCAACGGATATTGCCTACTGCAACTTTGTACAAGATACAGTTACGAGATCTGCCGATGCACAATTGAGAAACTCTATTTGAATAATGTTCTTAGCAATAATTACTTTGATCACGAATAAGACGAGCATTGTTTTGCCATCTCAATGCAATTACTAGAGCGATTAATTTAATTTCTTAAACATCATTTAATCATCAATTATCATTAATTACATACGAAGTAACTTTCATTATTCTTAATATTTATCGTTTTATGGAAAATATTGAGAAAATTTTACATAAAATTCATTTCAAAAAATTCTCTAATTTTCATAAAAATTAAAATAAATAACAAATTCTAACTTACATGTTGTAAATATCTGATATATTTAGTTTCCATAATTTAATATATATAAAAATTTTCATTACATAATTACATAAAACTTTGAAAGACTAAATTAATATTTAATAATGCATAAAAAATAATTAATCTGTAACATATTCAAGGCATATGTACATCACAATGAATTACAATATGTGGCACAGACAACGAAAGCAATCACCAGTACATCTATAAGATTTAATAAATTTGAGCTCTGAAGACGGTTGTGCAGGTTCTAAATTCAAAGAATCCTCACTTTCTTCACTCATTTCTTCAATACTAAATGTATCAGTTAGATCTTGCTTATGCTTTGAGGAATCTTTTGATTTAGTTGTTGGAAAAAGAGTCATCTCTCCATCACTAAAAATAAATAAATATACATAACATACTAAAGAAACACTACCTATACAATATAAGTAAATAGTTACCTTTCGCTATCACTATGCCAATATTCAACAAGAGGAAGATGTTCTTTATTTTTGTTTGGTACAGGAAGTCTTTGAATAGAAATTAGACCAGCAGCACTACTACCACCTCCACATCCCTTATCATATTTTGGCAATTTTACATAATCTGTATTACGTTGAATACGTTTAGCTTGTTCAATCCGTGCCTCTACCCAAAATGAATAATATAATGAATAAAAAAAATTGTCATATCACATTATCATGTTTATAAATTATAAAATAATAATTAACAATATAATACCAAGCTTTCTTTGCAATTGTTTAGTAGTAGAATTATGCTGAGATGTCTGTGTTTGATTGCTGCTACAACTGCTATCACTTCCCTAAAATAAAAAAATATAAATCAATGTCAATCTTTCTTATTATTATCTCTGTTTATCTACTTTAATGATCTATAAAATGCATAATATCAGGAATATATATTTACCACAAAATATAATAATATATTTACCACGAAAAGTCTTTCATCTTCTGTATGACTAATGGTCTTTGGATCACTGTCAATTCCACTATCTTCCATCACAAAATAAAAATATATTGTGAACTAAAGATTAGATCTTCCAATTCATCTGGAATAAAAAATACGACATTTTTAAACTGACAATTATACAAAATTTTCATACATATAATCACATGTATATAAATATAATAATTTTTTAAATTAGCTAACAAAATAATACCTCTTATCACTTAAATATTTGATAATAACCCACAAATACCACTTTTAATTTACATACTGTTATTTTTTTATACACAAGTACTTTCAACTAGTATTTAAGAAATAATAATTTAGACTATAATATAATATAATTTACATACAATACACAATTCTATTATATAAAATCATACTTAATAAAAGACAATCTGGAAACTGTTACTCACAAATATTTGTAAGCTTTTCTGACTTATCTAGTAGGAAGCATGCTTACATTATTATGGTATGCTCCATTATTGATTTTCTTTCTCCTATATAACCACATTTCTCTATATAACCAAATATTGCCTTTATTTAAAAAATAATCTTATATGATTAAATGAATATTCTATCTCTAAATTATGCAACAAAATTTACAATTAAATAAATTGTACAATATATTATATTCCTTTATCTATGCATGTATTCAACTCTAGAATATAGTTCTAATGATTTATAATATAATATAAATTATAATATATAAATCAACAAATTTAAATTTAAAAAATTTGAAAATTTTATATAATCTTGTATTATAATTTACATATATTATCATATGGTATGACAAAATTATTTACTTAAAACAGATAAATGATGTCGTAATAGTATAACAAGTATCCTAGGAAACCAAAACTCCTTTCTCTGTATTTATTGAAAGGAATAAGAGATATAAAGAACTTCAATTTAGTTTTTATTTACTTTTCTGATATATGTTTATTGTAGTAGAACAATTTTCTATTCATCTAGTATAAAAGCGAATTAATTAATATACGACATATGAACGAAATTCTATATTTTTTTATAGGTTCAAAAATTTTAATATTACTTTAAATTGTAAGAATTTAAATAAATATCATTTTATACATTAAACATTAAAGTCACATCATTGTTAGAAAGAAAACTAAAATTGCAAATAGAGATATATACATATCTAAGAAAATAGTGATTACTTTAACAATAAACATAATATACTAATATTAATTTGTAATATTTCTATATGTAGTTGGATATTAAATCATTTTTAATCCAACAATCATGCGTCCATCAGTAACAAAAAGAATTCCTTCTAAAGTGACAGAACTTCCAAAAGAATTGCCAAGAGTTAGTATTTTATGCATTTAACTTGATTTTAATAATACAATTTTTGATACATTTAATAAATAATTAATAATCATCTGTTACTTATAATTAGCATATAAGTTTCTTAAAGAGCCGAGTGGATCTAGGTGGTGGTGACATGGATTGGTTAAGAGGAAAGATTCTCTTAAAACCAGAAGATCAATTACAGTTATCAGAAGCAGTATGTGCACTTTTTCATTATTAAAACATTATATATTTCAACTATCAATTTTTTAAAAAGTTTGTAATTCTCTGAAAATAAAATTTTTAGGAATTGCAAGAAGAGATTGCAAGAGTTCTGACTATACATAACACAAGAATTCCAGATTCTTTAGTGGAGTGGTCATGGAAATTAAAAAATTTCATACTATTACCTCCTCCGCCACATTTAATAACTGTTCTAAGTATACCTGGATCATTATTGCACAAAGATTCTGAAGAAGCTAAAATACAATTAGCAGGAGGACTTGTTGGTAAAATGCTATAAATAAAAATGATTTACAAAATTTATAACTAATTTAATAGTTTATTAAATAAGATTTAAATATATCATTGCAGTGGATACTCCTTTTGAAGAAGCCATAGTACACGATGATGAAGAAGAAAGAGAAGAAGAAGAGGAGGAAGAAGCAGACACTGAAGAGCCAGAAGGTAAAGTGGAAAAAAATTGCAAACATATTTCCAAATATTCAAATGAAAGTTAATTCAAAATTTTGAAAAAGAAGTGGAAGATCATAAAGAACCAGAACATGAACACGAACATGAAGATGAGGAAGAGATAGAAAAAGTAAAACCAAAAAAAATACCAAATCAGTTTAATTTTTGTGAAAGGGCTGCCTTAACATATACTAATCCTATGAGAGTAAGTGTAAAATTGCTTAGATTTTATGAACTGAAATCTATTTAGTTACATCTATATTGATCCATAGGAAATGAGTACCCAAACAATACCACCTCCAACAGGGATATTTAATACCCATGTTTTTCAATGGACAATCTTCGACGAGTATCAGGCATGTATTGAACTAAATCATTTTTAAAATTATCTGAACTACATGTCTGAGTGAATATATATCTTAGGAAGACTTTGCTCAACAACAACGTGAAAAAGAAAAAGAAAGAAGACTTCCAATTCTACAACTCAAAAAGGAAGATGTGAAGAAAAAAGCTCAAATAGAATCTACAGCATTAACATATAGAATGTTACAAGCTGCAAAGACATTGGAACGAATGGTAAATCAAAATATTTTTGATGAAATAGCTCAAGGTTAATATTTTAATTCAATCACTTTCAAAAATTTATGCTTTATTTAGAAAAATATTTATGTAAATATTATTAGACTATAGATATTGGGATGATCCAAGTGATGAATTTAAAGTTGGAGAAGGTTCATTATTACCTTTATGGAAATTTAATTATGAAAAAACCAAAAAACATGATGTTACAGATTTATGCTTCAATAGTAGATACTATGATTTATTTGCAGTTTCATATGGAACAAGTTAGTAAACATTATAAAAATTTGATTATGTATAAATACTTATATACATAAATGTATAAATACTTATATACATAACATTTCAGTGTCGTTTAGTAGTTTGATAACAAATGGAACAGTATGTTTATTTAGTTTAAAAAATCCATCATATCCAGAATGGATCTGTCCAACAGAATCTCCAGTAATGTGTTTGGATTTTAATGAACGACATCCACATCTTTTAGTTATTGGTAATAAAAACAAATATTAATAGTATTACAATAACAAATTAATTTTAGTATTAATTATAATACTAGTATTAATATACAATTTCTTTAATGAATGAAGGTACTATGGATGGTGCTGTTGCTGTTTATAATATTATGTTGCCACCAACAACTCCTCAATATAGAAGCAATGATGTTGTTCAAAAACATGGAGGTATTGTGTGGGAGGTTTGTTTATCACAAATAAAAATATTCAAAGTGTTCAATAACACATCTTTGTTTTATTCTATCTATATAACTATTTCAAAATATACCATTAATATTTATTACATATAATATTCAAGATACATTGGGCACCAGACACAGAGGAAGGTAATTTAGCATTCTACAGCGTTAGCATTGATGGAAAAATAAATTATTGGATATTAAGTGAAAATGACCTTGCATTAACAACTGTGATAACCCTTTTTCTGGATAGACCACCAATACCTGGACCAGATGGTACTATGATTACACTTAAAGGTAAGAATGTTTTATATTATTAGTATTTTTTGTAATATTAACAAGTTCTAGTAAATTTTAAT